TATATACAAAGATGGAATACCGCAAAGAAAAATTCTTTCGAACCGGCTGGAGTAAAACCAGTGTGTTGCCTCACCGTAGCTACCGCTCTTACCATCTAAGCTACATGATATGTATCTATTTTTGTATAAATACTCCAATAATTTGTTATTTATTGATGCAAATATTTGTATCAATAATAATCTAAAGAGGGTTTCAGCATCGAAATGAAACAACATGAAATTTTATTTTTCACTATATTTAACTTCTGTAAGCTGGTTATATTACTGCTAGGACACGTTTAGGACATTATTCCTTTCAAGGAAACACTAAATAAGTCTTAACTCTTTTAATTTCGTATTAATCTTACTGACCAGTACAAATTCGAATCAATAAGTATCGTACCACAGACAATAAAACAAATGTAGTTTTAATCGACATGCGGAATCGAGTATAATTGATTTAAAATAACTTTTCTAACCGAATAACATTATATATTTGGTTCACAGTAAGTATAAACAGCTAACACTTTCATATATTTGTGTCTAGATTTCGGCAGACAATCAAACAAATTGTGCTTTAATTCAAACAGTAGCAGTAGGTAGAGGTCCTTGTGAAAAGTTCGTCCTGGGAAGTATCTTACCTATTTCTGCCACTAAGCAGTAATATGAGGATTATTGCAATCGATTCCAAAAGGAAAGAACTGTGCTTACTAATTGCCGCTCTCACATTCATGGTCCATTTAATAAACACCTTTTCAATTTAGATATGACGGACATCCCTCTTTGCTGAGCATGCATGACGTGGTCAACTACATTGCGAAATACATTGGAGTGCCGTGGTGGTTCCACGAAGTTTTCAAAACAACCCAGGAGGGTGCTGGGATTATTGGAGAAGCTTGGGCGGAGCTTGGACGTCGGGTTGCGGAAACCAGCCCGTTACACCATAACATACCATACCATACATAGCACTTGTCAATTTATGTCTGAGGGTGACAGGCGTAGTAACAGTGCCCCTCAGATCTTATCGATTTAAAACTCTGAGTGACACTGCAACAATTATGGACAGCTGTGTCGCTTACCACTAGGCGCACGACATTTTTCATTCCGTCACTTTGTATCTATTAAAAAGAAACAATTTAAGTTATTTCCTTAAAATAAACCAAAAAACTTTAACGATCCTGTCTATATATAGATTAAGAAGTAAACATAACAATATTTTCTTTGTCACATTAACAAAGAAAGAAATAACAATGTTTCGTAAGAATTATCGGGATTTCGTAACTACAAATTCTTTGTTAAATCACGCATGCGTAAACATTTGTTCATAATTAAAACAAAATCAAAAGTGTCGACATAATTATGGCTGAATGTTGCCATAAATTAAAATCTGTCGTAAATGAAATGAAACAATTTATTTCAGACAGTTACAAGTCCATATGTTATAAGTAGGTACTTACAACTATGTTAGTAGAAAGCAAAGTGTTCATTTTCATGAATAAGGATGGACATCCAATACTTAAGGATTGGGTTTTCCATCCTCTCTGCTACCACCCTAAGAAGACTGTTGGTGCTGCCTCTCACTCTGGCCAACAGGGATACCACTCTATTGCATACGACTGTCTGAAAACTATTAATTCTAGCCTCTGCGAAGATCCCTGAGGCACTACAGTGTCGAAGCAGCCCTAACAGTCCCCTGAGGGCGTTGTTGAATTGGACACGCAAGGTATTGTATGCTTTTTTAGTGTAATTGCTCCACAGGTTGCACGTGTATAGGGTCTGGCAATATGTTTTGAAAAGGGTGATTTTAACTTCGTATGAGCACCGTGCTAACCTTGGGGCCAGCATACTGCACCTTACTGCCAGCGCCCTGCGCTCCCTCTCCAGGTCAACATCGTCTGTTAAATTTTCCGTGACCCAGTGACCCAGATACTTGAACTTAGTCACTTTCTCAAGTTCATTACCATTTAGAGAGACTAGTGGCGCTGAAAAAGTTTTGGTACCTGATTTGAACACCAACAGTTCACTCTTTTCAACATTGTATTTAAGTCCACGGGCCTCGGCAAACCTTTCACATACATTTATCAATACTTTTAGACCACTGATTGAAGGGCTCAGCAGCACCATGTCATCTGCATAACTTATGTTATTTACAAAATAACCATCTATTGAACAGCCTACCCCGCCGCTGCTGAGCTCCTCAATCAGTCCATTTATATACAAGTTAAATAAGATGGGTGAAGTCAGCCCGCCCTGTCTCACACCACATTCCATCTGGTATTCCTCGGAAGACTTCCCAGCCCTTCTAACATAATTTACTTAATTTTCATACCAGTATTTAAACAACCCTGTCAGTTCTTTAGGTATACTCGTGTTGTACATTTTATTCCAAAGTGTACTATAGGATACCATGCCGAAAGCATTAGACATGTCAAGGAAGCATGCGAAAACTGGTGTCTCCCTATCGGTGTAGTACCGAACAGTGTGCTTAAGACACAGTATAGCTGATTCCGTAGACAGCTCAGGCCGGAAGCCAACTTGAGCGTCGTGCAACTTCACATGTTGTCCACGGTGTTTATTAAGCACACTGTCCAGCACTTTTGCCATTATGGTAGCTAGAGAAATTGGCCTGTATTACTCATCTCAGAGGCATCACCTGTCTTATTTTTAATGATAGGTACGACAACTGTCTTTTTTAGATTAGTAAAATAATAATTATAAAATAAAATTCGTAATAATAAAAAAAACGAAAAGGTTATGTATCGAAAAAATGCGCGGAACTGAATATTGTAAGTTATAACAAAAAAAGAATAAAAAGCGGTACGGATGTCGAGTCTGTACAGAACAATTTATAGAGAGGAAGGACGTTTTAGTCTGTAATTCAATGGGTAGATTTAAGGTCAAGGGGACTTCCTACTTCCAACAAAAAAAAATATTTATAATTAGTGGCAATTACATGGCGCTGCGGCAGCAGCGTTAGAGCGATGCCACACGGGCGTTGCGTCACCGTTGCGTCGTCGCACCGCCACATCCCTTTCCGCTTCGTTTTCTGGTCCCTTGTCCGAAACGCACGCGTTCCGTCACCGCGCGCTGTTTCAACGCACCGTGTGGAAAGCGTTTTGATTTATATGTAGTACAACGTAGATGTCATACCGCAGCACTAGGGGCGTGACTGCAATTCAGCCCATACGGCGAAATCCTACAGTAGTAGACATTTGCGGCAGCATACATAATGAGATCAACACATATTATCACACACAGCCAGGGAAGTACTGCCACCTTATCTATTTCTGTCGCCAACGTTTCAAAGGTAAGGGTGTTGGTGAAATTACAGGCACGTGAGACTTGTCATTGTCAACTTATGTCCCGGAGTAACATACAGTGCCCCTCAGATCTTTGGGACTTAAAACTCTGAGCGGCACTGCAACAAGACTTGCCACAAGACGCACGACTTGTTAGTTTTTTCACTTGGCATCATAAAAAAATTGAGCTTAGGATCTGCTGGACAGGATGTCAAACTTTTTTCCTATCGCGAGAATATCAAAAAGCGAAAAGAACTGCCGCCAGTCTCCGGAAATCCTTAACTGCCTTCTGCAAATCTTCTAACTACCCTTACCCATTCGTACTTTCTCATATCAGCAGACACCAGCAAAGTCCTATTAACATTATGAATCAAATTCAATCCTCCATAAACAAATAAACAAGAGGATCAAAGTCCCTCAGAGGGAATCCCTCCATTCCCGCCTCCAAAATAACACCATTGGCTACCACCGTCCCTCTCCCAACCAATCAGCTTCCAGCAACCCCCTGTTCGAAATTTAAAAAAATTAAGTGAATTTTCATCAGTCGATACGAGGACGTGACAGTGTGAACATCTTAGTGTTGTTAAATATTTGTGAAACAAAAAATATATATTGTGTTGTGCAACTGTGCCAATTTTTTTTTGATAAATTGAATTTGTGATAAGAAAGTGGTTTATATGCCAACCGTGACGAATATTGGAGAGAACGGTGAGTAAATTGGTCTGTTGTTTTAATCATAATTTAAGTTAAACTTGGCTCTAATGAGCATCGTTTTCATGCACACGTACATTTGTGCACTCACTTAGGTATCCACTATTTGTACTTAGTCCTACACAAATAGTGGATATTTAAGTGAGGGCACCGACTGGACAAGAGCTACGTGTCTTCGCAATAACTGTTTATTTCTTCCATTTATTGCTATCATTCCATCGTTATTTTTTGTATTCATCATCTTTCACATAAATTGTATAATTGTATCAGCTAAAAATTTAGTAATTGTATGTGTAACAATCGCAAAGACCTAAGAATTTCGAAAGTTTACAATATTTATTGGAAAACAGGTAGCTCATCATCATATTCTCAGTTCCTTAATACCCACTGCTGGGTATGCCCAGCTGTCTATGGGTCTTCTTTTTTGCACGCCGGCTCAATCGGTTCAGTGCGAGTTTCATTCACAGGCTTCCAGCCACTCCGGCGATATCCTCCGACTAATTTTCAGGTGGTCTGCCTAAACAGGTACCTAGGTATCTAGATACAGCCTGCAAAATGCTAAGCCTAAGATTGTAACTTATGTAACTCTTTAATTATCTCCTCCTCATCTTAGAGGTATCACTATAAATACACGACTGATTTTACATATTTTTTTGCCAAACAATTGCTAACTTCAGTAATTAGTAGCACTATCGCCGGATACTGATATCACAGGAAACGCTATATTTATACTGTTTTAATTAGAAACATGTGTTACAACCAGTTATGGCACTTATATGAGAGTTTATTTGATAATAATCGAGCGACATACGAAAATATAACGAGCTAGTACAGTTCCGTATATTCAACTAAGTTTTGATTATAATGCCCGTACCCAACCTTACGCAACCTTTTGGTTATACGGGAAGGGACATATAAGCAAACCCTTACAAAGACCTTGTCAGTCAGGTCCTGATCCCAGATCAGTCCGTTGACCTGTGCACGTACAGCGCTCTTTCTATTGTTCAGATAGGTGCTGGAGCCGTTGGCTCGCTCACTTCCCGTTGTGCATTGCGCCACTGTCAAGCCGTTGACTCTAAAATCGGGCTAAACGATCAAGTACGGTAAGGCATTTTTTCTTTTATTAGTTAGTAGCAGAACACACGATATTTTTATAATATCAAGTGCGGGAATGAACAAGTAAGCGATACGACGAGCTTTAATTGCAAAAATCTATTTTATTTATTTATTTCATACAAACAAGGCATACAAGACAACATAACACAATTTCTCACCAAACTGCGAGAGAACTTTTTGGCGAGGTTACACTCGCAATCACTAAACTACAGTATACCTAATACGAGTACATTTATAATACCGTAGACTTTAACTAAATTTACATGCTTTCAAGAAGTAAAAATTTAATTTTTTTCGTCAAGTGAATTTACTTAACAATTATCTGCCTCTCAAAAAATCGAATTGGTTAAATATAATTGGCAAGAGATGTATATTTGTTCTTTTACCACAGCAGTTATTTACTTTTGGACATACATACATACATATTTATGTTCCCGGGCTCGCCTAGTACTATATTTGAGAGAGGCACTGCTACTGCGCAATGTATCCAGATATATAAAGTTCACAAGTCCCATGTACCTATAGTTTCACCACCTTCCTTACCCCAGAAAACCGGAACGCGGTAGTGCTCACATTAATACCTAGCGGCTGGAATAGGTATGGTGACAATATGTACATCCGTGATGAATTCTTTAGCAAGGAGCTCTACTGCTGCTGAAATGACGTCAAAGTTAACGTTATAGTGTGACGAACAAACAGCCACCACTTGCGCTTTAAACATAATCTCTTACGAATGGCAATCGTTACAAAATTTTGACCTTACATCCAGCGAACAAGCTGCAGTGTAAATGAAACTATTTTTCCGGATTTAAATCGCGTATATTTGTTTTTTCAAACAAACCGACGTTTCGGGCCCTTTCCAGGTCCCATGGTCACGGTTGACTGAGGTACAGTCTTCAACCAGTTATGTCTAATATTAATGCAAACCACCCTATTTTTTCCACTATAGTTATAATAGTTATTAATTAAATACCTTATTTTTAATTTTACAAAGAAAACATTCCAATTTACGCTACAATAAGTTTTACAAATTATGTTATTGAATTTATTTTTATTAAGTTTAATTTATTATTAATTATTAATAGAAATTAGAATAAACTAAAACATATTAATTAGTACTGCAGTCTTATGTCTGTTTGGGGTTTTTCATTAGAGGAAATACTGGATCCCAAACTGGTGGTACGGAGAAACCATCTTCCCTGTTGAAATTAGGATGTTTTTTAATTTCAATGGCCTCTCTGGGTAGATAACGGACTTCTTTTGCAAGGACCTGGGGTTTGTCAAACTTCATTGAATGTGTAGGTTTATCCATGACATGCTCGCAGACTGCAGACTTGATTAGGCGACGGTGTTTGACATCAGCTATATGTTCTTTGACGCGGGTACAAATACTTAGCTTTGTTTGTCCAATATAAGAGAGACCGCACTCACAGTCAAGCTTGTAAACTCCTGCATCCTGTAAGGGGATGTTACATTTCACGGGTCTCAGGAACTGAGAAATCTTCCTCAGGGGCTTGAAATAGGTCTTGATGGATGCACGCCTGAGGACTCTTACGATCTTGTCTGTAACACCTCTCACGTAAGGTAAGATGGCAGGTCTTCACTCGACTGTTGGTGGTTTCACACGGGGCCTGCGGCATTGGCGAGGAATCTTCAACTTATTCGCATGTAGGACTTGCTTTATATGCTGAAGTTCCCCTGCCAGATGATTACTGTCGCAGACACCATATGCTCTCTGAAACAAAGATTTGCCCACGGTATTTGTGATTTAAATCCGGAAAAATAGTTTCATTTCCTATGTGTAACAATCGCGAAAACCTAAGAACTCGATAAGCTGCAGTGTCTTTAGACAGGGGCCTTATGTACTCTAGACAGCCGGAGGTGACTACGTACTGTTGATTCTCAAATAATCGACTTTATTTTCAACATCTACTATCTACCTTATTTCTATTGCAGTGTATACAGCAGCGATGGCGTCGGACCAGGAGTCCTCTGATGAGGAACCTGACAGTGAGATGCTTAGCGACGACCTGTGTCTTCCCGACAGTGACGATGACAAGCCCAACAGGAATGTTCAGGTACTTTTATTACTTACATTTCGAATCAACACATTGATTACTACATGATAACTACAACACATTGTAGCTAAAGACACATACCTTGTGGAAGTGACAACGTATTGGGAAAAAGATTCCCGAGTGGCGACAATAATTTGTTATTGGTGGCATGGTTATACGGTTTTGCCGAAGAACCGTCTATATCCTACGGAGTTTTCTATTTTGTGTATATGTTCAAGGCCTTATCGATCATATGCGTGCTAAACTTGATTTGGGCTATTTCCAGCACTTTATGATCTATGTAACGCTTTTGCACAGAATCTCTCAGAAGATCTACCTACCGTAAACTCCTGCCTCCTCCGTCCACCGCGAAAGCTATTCACAAACTGCCGAGAGCGATGGCGTCAACAAAATGTCAGCGGAGCCTTTGCTGAGCTCAGAAGATTGGTACCTACACACCCGCATGATAAGAAATTATCTAAAAATGAGATACTGAGGATGGCTATCAGGTATAATAATTATAGATTCGCTTTCACTCCAAGTGTAATAAGTTACATTTCATCTCTAAATAGGTTATGCCCTGCATTGGAGATATGTATTTTAATCTATATTCCAGATATTCAAAACTTGCCTTGGTATTTACGACAAACTGCAAAATGTGTCACTAATTAGAAATGTTATCTTTTTTATTTCGCTAAATACCATGAAATTTAACGAGTTCCTAAATTTTCATTTGCGTCAGTTCCAACATATCATTTCAAGAAAGAACTAACTTCCAAACAATTACTTTAACAGGTACATAGGCCTTCTCTGCGATGTGTTAGAATGGCAGAAGAACCAAGGCTTATCAACCAACAAAGAAAACTCTTTGGCTATCAAATGTGAATCACCTCTAAGTCCTCAATCCAGACGCTTACGCATCAAGCGCCCGTACGACGATAACTGTGGTAATTTTGGTGAATACCTGAAATATGGCAATGAAGAAAACGAAGATTTTCGAAGATTCCATCAAAGATCATATACAAAAGATCTCCATTTTAACAAAGACCATCTTAGATTGCTAAGAAATCAATATTATTTCTCTCATAGATGGAGAAATGTACCATTCAGAAGTATTGGTGACAGGAATGGGAATCTATTGATGATTGCGCCTGTCAATAAGGAGGATGAAAAGGGCCAAGATAAGGATAAAGATGTGAAGGGTGGTGGGAAATAACATAATTGGAATGTATTAGCTCGGCGCAACATCATTATGCAGGACCGCTTGGAAAATGTTTCGACTGAAGCCTTTGATAATCTAGCATTACCTTATCTCTGAACGGAGACGCCGACATTATGATTTGCATACTTTGTGGTCTTGCGTTACGTCATTGATTAGATCTAAATACCTAATAGTATTAAAGACAATAGAGAACTCAAGGGGAAAGATGTCTTGACATCTGATATGTCACGACAGCTTTCTAAAAAGCATTATAGAAGCGAACACATACGCAGAGGAAGACATACACGAAGATATTTGAACAAAAATTAAATAGTAGAAATATTTAACGACGTGTCGTATCAGGAACTGAGTAGAGATTTTTGGCGACTTTCTAACTTTTCTTGTGTAAAATAACAATGAAGGTTGCTTTAGAGTCAGTGCTCGTTTAATCATTGTGAATCTACTCAGATTGTTTATTGTTTTAAGTTTTTGGGGGAAAAATTACACTTTTAATTTTAAGAAGTTAGGTCGATAAACTAGCATCCGTTATTTATAATTTTTAGTTTATTTATTTTTAAACAAATATCAATAAAAAAGTCAACTCATGTTTTTGATATGAAGATTGTTTGGCTGGTTTATTTAGTAATATGTTAGACTCCAAAAGCGTTGTCTACTTAAGACAAAACTAATACGCATATGCTGCTGTGTACATAAAGAACAAAGTAAAATAAATAGTCTACAAAAATTAACATCTATGATTTTATTTAAGGACGAAGAAAGATACAGAACTGTTATCTTTAGGTTAAGGGGTTTTAGGGCCTGTGTAGCTACGGAGTTGTCTTGGAGTACCGCTGTTTGTCATTGTGGACCAGTTAAGAAATTACCACACTTATCGATGAGGGATCACTTTGGCTTGGTTTGATGCAGCAAACCGCATGAAGACTTTTTCACTCTTGTTTCATGAAGATAACGCTTTTTTCGATCATTAAGACTAGTAGCGGATAGTAGGAAGAGAATGTTCTCATTTACTTTAGAAGTAAAAGGGGTTCTAGGAAGTACGACGTTATGAAGATATCCCTTAGCACTACATCACCACACTGCCGAAAAGAAATATACAAACTGCAAGCTGTCGGCGGGCGTTTGCCAGTCATTGCCAGCTCATTTTTTTTATCATTAAATTTTAAGTTTTGGTAAACATTAATTCGACTTAGTTTTAATTAAAAGCCGTAATCTTTTGGAAAGTTATTAAAACTCAATTCGATTGTATTTTTTCGTGTGTATGTTCGCGGTTACTCTTTACAGTTTGTGAACCGATTTTGATTCTCTTTTTGTTGGAAAGAGGATACCTCAGTTGGTCCCATTTCATTTTGAACAAAATATTTCACCTCTAAGGGTGGCAAACTAAGGGATGTATCTGGTTTCGCGCATGTTACCGTAGGTAGCCGATTGTTAACTTTTTAATTTCAGTTTAACCTACATATAAGCAAAGTTTTAAGTCGGTTCCTTTTTGTTTAATAAAAATTATCTACTTAATATTATCTTTTATCTTTTAAACATCCGAAATTATTTTTTTAAATTCGACTATAACATCCATCAAGATGACATTCATCAACATATGTATGCGGAAATTTGGACATGAGTGAATTGACGTCTAAAAATTTATGATACATTTTTTTAAAGAAGTTAATTGTTTGAATAACTGAAACAAACAACCTATAAAAAAATGACCCCTGACGTTATCTATTATATGAATTGTAAAGAAAACTTAGTAAAATCATTTACAAACTACTGAATTCCCATACCATCTGAATTTTTAGTGTCTGATTGTTTGATATGCTATTCCTTACTTCGCATGTGACTAATAAGTATCGTAGATATATTGGTATGTCCTCGTCTCTGTTTCTCTCTCTCTCTCCAAAGGGGCGTGGCTGATATTGATATCCCACCCTTACTCCCGGGGGATGGTCGTCAAATTAGGGGGAAAGATATAAGTACGTGTAACTGTTGACTTCCATAAAAAAATTTGTACAAAATTGTCAAATTTCAAGGGAAAGCTATAGTACTAGTAAGTATTATCAAGTATTTAACCATGTGCAATGTGGATAACATTAAATGGAGCAGATATTTTATCAAAAAAATTTTGTTCTCGCTTCACGATTTCAGGTACTTAAAGTAGAAAATATAGTAAGGGCCCCAAGACACTACCTTGAAGAACTCCATAATTTTGGGATTAGTTACTTCAATAATTTCTATAAACTTAAAGCCTTCTGAAGGAAACATAAGTAATCATAATTTTATTATTAGTGACAAATTCACCCTAACACCACTCAGTCCTAAAGATAAGGTGTTCATTCGCCCTTATGAATGTATGCGCTGCGAACGGCGCGTGCCTATTGAAGATAAAGAGTAATTGATTCTGGATTATGGGTCTTTGCCCACATTCTAACCCTCGTATATATTTCTATAGAGACGGATACAGTTTGAATGAAAAATACGTCATACCTATTCCAACTTTAAAACATAAACAATTAAGTTGATAAATGTTGTTTCATATAAACCAGGGAGCTTCAAACGAATAAGTAGTTGAAGTAGAGGAATATTCGTGATGGAGACGAGTTGTCAGATTTGGCTTTGGATCTGGATTACTTAGGTTGGTTGGTTCCAGATTAAGTGCTAATTTTCTTATGAGAGAAATCGGCCATGTAATTATAAATATCTAGCCATGACCGCCAACGTAACGTAGGCGACGTTTTAGTAGCAGTAGATCCACGGAAGTACTGCAAGGCGGCAGTATTTCCCTGGACCTATTTCTGCCGCTAAGCAGTAATGTCAGCATTACTGCGTTCCGGTTTTGAAGGGTTAAGGTGCGTGTACGCGCTAAGAAATTTGATGTCTCTGCTACAGAAAAGATGAGAATGGCCACGAAACATGTCGTGTATGTTGCAGACGAGAAAATGATGAGTACGTACACGATACGAATGCTTTTGGACAGACGTGTGTAGGGTAAAATCGTGACGCATTACGAGTCTTCCACGTAGCTGTCGTTTTACAACCAAATGTGGGAAGAAATATGTTGTTGTATATGTTGACTAATATAAGCAACACCAGTCCACGCGCTTAAACGTTCATTTACTGATAATGCACTTCACCCCGCCCCATACAATAGCGGCAGAGCGCGTGGTGTCGGAGGATAGACAAGATTTTTTCTTGTCCGGCGCCGAGGCAGTGTGCACAGTTCGTGTATAGAAACGACACGAATTCTTGCATAGACCCGGCGACTTTTCTTAGTGTGGTCACGCGCCCTAAGGGTACTGGTGAATTTACAGGCACATCAAACTTGCCAACTTAAGTCTCAGGGTGACGGGTACAGTGGCAGTGCCTCTCAGATCTTTGCGATTTAAAGCTCTGAGTGGCACTGCAACTGTTACGGACAGGCGTGTAGGTTAATATCAAGCTCACCACATGTTCGTCCCGTTACTTGGTATTATATAAAAAAGACATTTTTACCTAAACAGCGTTATTTATAAGAAATAATAATTTAAACTACAACGGACAATGATGCGTCGACATTCCCGCCAAAATTACATAAATAGAAATTATAGCAAAGGCTAAGTTTAGCGTTCAAGTGGCAAAAACGAGTCGCATCTTGTTGTGTATTTTTAGTCGCGAGTGTTACCTTAAACGCCCGGAAGCCTCAAAAATCTTTAGATAGAGATAGCAAATATTTAAGTGCCAAAAAAGGCTTAATATCCATTACTTGAAAAAAAAAATAATTAGCTGTTACAAAACCGATTATGAAATTCATTATTGTATATTAAAATTCAATTTGGTATCATATATGTGTAGAAATATTATAAAAAACCTGTAAAATTTGTTTTTTTTTCGTTTACTCTAAGTCGACGGTAATGCCTCGTTGTGGTCTTTGGGGAAGCAATCCAGCAGCGGACGTTTTCGATTGAAATAATAATGGAATTCAAAGGTAAAAGGGGCAGTAAATCCAAAACACGGAACAAGTGAGTTATCGATAACGCTGATTTTAATATCATACATCATTAACTTAGCAAGTTCGTCTATTGTGCTATGAATACACCTAATGGGCTGGTGAAGAAGGATATTAGAAGAAAATATTTGAAATAGTTTGAGTAAACGGTATACTACTTGGTGTAAAATAATTACACATTTAGGCAGAAACAGCTGCTTCTAGGTATTACGGCTTTCTCCATCAGATCCTTTTCACACCCACTGGACGAGACAGGGTCGATTTATTCACGACAGGGAACGAAAAGGCACGCTAAGTCGGTTTATTAGTAACAAATTCACCCCAATACAGCAAAGATCAGATACGAATGTTTAATCCCCCGTATAAATGTATGAGCTGCGAATGGCGCGTGCCGAAAGATGATAATAAAAGGGAATTGATTGCCAGTCTTTGATTTGTAAAAAACACACATACATTTTCTGTATTAGGTACGTACGCCTGAATTTTTTAAGGTTCATTGTATGTGCAGAAGTCGCATGTGCAGTAACTAAGGTGTTATCAATTTTTATCGTAAACCAGAACTGCTCTGTTCAAAATTTAACGGGTTCGTACCTAATGTCACGCCTACAAAGTCGGGGATATTATTAACAGTAGTAGAAGTAGCAGTAGAGTTTTTTGTGGAAGACATTATCCAGCTAAGACCTGGCACCTTACCTGTTTCTGCAGTAATGTGAGCATTAATGCGTTCCAGTTTTTAAGGGTAAAGGTGTGTTGAAATTACAAGCACACGGGACTTGTCAACTTGTCTTAGAACGGTTACACACGGAAACTTTTTGCAGCGATGCAAGTGCGACGCAAATGCGATGCAAATGCGAGGCAGCCGTACGTATGTATCGATGAAGTCGCGTGTTTGCATCGGTGCAATCGCCTATAAATCGCAAGTGTAGCGATGCAATCAATCACTCTTATAATGCCGTGGGGTATCTCTCCTTCCAGAGAATTTGTTGTAATGAATCAAGACGATTGTCCGACTTATCAAACGCTCTTCTAATCTGCCATAAAGAACATTGAACCCGAATTAATTTTATAATCCTAAAATCCGTTCCCAAGGGGCTCAAAGCAAATCAGTGGGCCATAACAATCACTTCGCCATCTAGCCACCCTCTCTTCACTCAATCGACTTTGCAAATATTATTATCGGCGTTTTCCACCGCAATGGGGTTGCTGCACCATAAAAAGGCATGTGAGTAAATTAATATCTCTGAGACTTGAAATCAGATATTATCGTAACTAAAAAAGTACCAATTTTTTTGGGAAATTGGGAATTGGGAAAACACGATGTGAAAATTGAAAAAATAAAAATGCTGAATGGATTTTATTGCGAATAATGTGAGTAATATGTTAAATTATTCAATTAGAAATGAGAATACAAGGATCATGGCCCACCAAAGTATAAAACCATACAATACAGAAATGACATATGGCTAGATTTATAGAAAAATATGTGTACTTTAACCATTGACTTACAAATAAATGGACGACGGGTCTAATATAAAAACCACGAAAAAAATGTCCCAAGTCAACCTATTTAAACGTAGTGACATGTCAAGGAATATGAAAAAGCTAAAACGTTGAATTTAAATTGTAATGTCATCGCAGTACTGTCTAATTTTGCTTCCTTCGCTGTCAGTCGAACAAACGAAGACTAAAGCGTGAATGACGCTCTGTATACGATTTTAACGCCCTATAAGTTCGGACACTTTTTAGCGCGGACCCGACGTCCATATAATTGTAAGTTAATGACTTTAACAATGGTATGTGTCGCTTTGCTGTGGATACTGGGAATTATGGAATAAAAAATATTTTTAAATAAAAAATATATATTAGTGGAAAATAATTGTGTGTTGTCCGGTTTAGAAGGGTAAGGAAATTACAGGCACATGGGTATCAATGTATTGTCAACTTATGTTCCAGAACGACGGGCGCAGTGGCAGTGCCCACAAGATGTTTGCGATTTAGTTTAGAGCTCTGAATGACACTGCAACTGTTATGGGTAGGCGTGTCAAGGCGTGACAAGTGAACAACAAAAAGTGGTTTATAACTGCAAAATTTAAAACTAATGTGGTTTTTGAACGCCAACATCCATTGCACCGGGTCAGATTTCATTTAGTAATTTTTGGAACTTCCAAATCGTGTTTTCTCAATGTCACAATTCTGAGTTACGACAGTATTTGGTTTCATGACAATGTTACTAATACTAATGCTACTAAGATATTAACATATCGCACCTTTGGTGTAATAAGGTCACATCTGTAAAATGACAACTTTGCATAAGAGGTTCCGGATTCTACGAACGAAATTAGTCGATAACTTTTTTATGTTTAGATGGAGTTATAAAATTTTACATTGTACATAATAATTATGTTTCATGTAGTTCGTATTATTTTTATGACTTTTATTTGATAAAAGACATAATGACGTAATGAGCACACGTGGCTTTGTCAGTCAGTCAACCGTGACCATGGGATAAAACATTGGTTTATTTGAAAAAACAAAATACGCGACTTATCTAGATTTTCTCTTGAGATCTAGATTTGTGATTCATTTTTAACAGACTTCAAAAAAGGAGGAGGTTCTCAGCTCGACTGTATTTTTTTGTATGTCTGTAACGCGGTAACTCCGCGGCATTTGTGAACCGATTTTGATGATTCTTTTTTTTGTTGCAAAGAGGGTCCTCAGTAGTGGTCCCATTTAAGTTCGAAAAAAATATTCCACCTCTGAGCGTGGCAAACTAGGGGATGAATTCAGTATCGTCGCACTTTCCGGTAATCGATTTCGACTTGGCAAATAAATATAAGTCCACGAACTTTTGAGGTTGTTTTTTTAGTACTTTGTACTGAGATTATCCGTGTATCATAATGTAACTTCCTTATATTTATTGAAATATTTATGAAGGACCATTGGCCCTCGTAGTCCTGTGGGGTCTCGGTGCCCTTCATCTGTAGAAAATTTTATCCAAAAAATTAATAGACTGTCTGGGAAACCCAAGGGCAAAGTTACCTTGCCCAACGCATTAGCATAGCCATACGCTGACAGCTTCTTGGGCACCTTGCGAGGACCCAATTTTGTTCATATAATTTAATCCTAGTTTTACTTTCTAGTATTTAAGCTTTTGTTGCACCTTACCTGCATATTTCAACTTATTGTCTAATTAAAAACCTCTTCCAGCATATGTTGGATTCTGTGTAATCAGCCCAAGTCATATCCCGTGTGCTGTGTTATGGGTGCTACGATGCTATTTTGTATACATTCTGAACTGACCTTTTGACAGGGCGCCACACAGTTGGTCGAGGAATGTTAACGAGAAATCTCTTTATCATCGTAGAAAAACATTCCACGGTGGTTCAAAGTGGCTGTGCATACAGTGTCGCATTTTCATTGAAACAACGAACTGAGAATGTACAAAAAAATATTTATTATTGCTTTTGTCATCTCTCATTTACAATTCAGTCTTTCTTTTCATTTGATGCCATCGTCTAAATTCCCCAACAGCTTTAACAACGTCTTCTGCAAAAATCTTTGGCAGCTGTAGAGCTAAGAAATGTCCACCGTCATCGAGGACTGTAGTGTTCAAAAGGTTGGGATATTTCTGTCGAAGAATGAACGGCGGCTGGTAGCCGAGCTCGTACTTTGCTTGGATGCCCCATGTTGGAACATATGTGGGGATGCTGGAAAAGACAGTAAATTCGGGGTTATTTTTACAGGACTCTTGGTATAGGACTCCCGTTCTTGAAACAGACAACTTTACGATTTCAAAAAGTTCAGACACATATTTCCATCTCCCTACAGAAATCTGATTTAACCATTCATTGATTCGATTCAAGGAAAATATAAGAAAAGTGATGTACAGCACTTTTGTTGTTGTACGTATGTACAATTTACAGTAGTACAATTCTGCAGTTGAAAGGGCGCTTGTGACAAAAATTCAGACCTGAGAAAATAATGTTTACAGTAGGTAATGAAATTATAAATTAACCATTTTCCCATTGCACTAATTTCATACCTTATCCCCTTTGTATCCACCTACTAATATTGACAGATCGGCCTTTTTTTACTTATCACGGCAGCATAAGTAACAAATTTAAAAAAAGTCACTGCCCTTTCAACGGTGGCAGAATTGTATGTACAAGTTTTTGAAAAAGTTGTATAACTAATTTAATGACAGGTTAAAAGTTTTGGGTTAATAAACATAATTCTTAATTTACAGTAGTTCAGAAAGAAAGACTTAAAGGCAACTTTAAAGATAGGAGACAGTTTATCGGACGTGTTTGTTTAAAAATGCTTATCCATTCCAGTTTTGAATAAAAATTGCTACGTAAAAATTTGTTATAAAAGCCACACTGAAAAGACTTGTTAATGATCACGTAAAAGGCAAGAGACGCAGCTATCGATACTTAAAAGTATAAGGTTCTTTACTGTAATCATGAAGACATATGGAATCGACCTACAATGTGCAATATACACAAGACATTAAGACAGTTCGACCATTATACCTACAACAATAATTTTCATTGTTAATTTAATCTTTTGTGGTAGGAATGCAGTAATATCTCAAAAACAGTAATTGGGGACATCTTAAAGGATAATAATTTAAATAATGATCATTATCACTGTACCAGCCACAGACGTGCCAGAATGTCTAACCCTCTTCCGACATTCAGGCACGTCTTGGTACAAGCAAAGTTACAATCATGCCTTGTGCATCAGCATAGAACACACGTACCAAATTAGTATAAGTAGCTCATACAAAATGTAAACCTCACTCAGTCAACCAGAGTCAGTCAATCCTCATTCAGTATCCAGTAAACAGTCATCAAATAACGACAACTATAATATTTTATTTATACCATGTAAAACATGGTAAAATCACCATTGTAATTACATTTTCCGCCTTCTATTTATTAAAAAGTTACATCTCCACGAGATTTTGTGAAGCCATGTTTGACTATATAAATATTATACGGCACTTACTCATCCAATTTATATGCAAAAGTTTTCTTGCTAAATGTTTCAGCATACAATCTCATTGATGTCGTTATTGAACTAGTAGCCCAATAAAACATCAGGTTATCAATAAGCTGTTCCTTAGTGAAGTGATTAGTCAAGCCTCCAGTGGGATTTGAAATAAGATTCCTGTCAGTCCACGTGGAGAACTTCTCCAAGATGTACGCTAGAAGACCTGCTGGTGAGTCGGAGAGGGCTACACCTGAAAGAATAAATTGGATATAATTTTATATTGGCAATCTGGTTAGTAGTCGCGGGGAGTTAACCTAGTCAAAGAGTTTGAAGTCCAATACCTAGATCTTCACTAAGAAGTTTTGTTTATCAACCAAGAAAATCTGAACAAAATTTTTATTTCGTTGTTGTGTAGATATCAGTACTGTCAACGTTTTCTCAGGTACGGGCAAACTGAGATACGTCCTTTGGCATTGAAGAATAACGTTGAAGGAAAACAATTACCTACAGTATCAGGCTTCGTAGCTTGTATGTGCAAATACCCCGCTTCTTGCAGCAAGAAAGAGTATTTTTTTCCTAGAGGGTACATTCTCTCAGCTAAATTCTGATCCATGAAGAGTGGCGGGTAGATTGCACCCAGCAGTTCTAATAATGTGGCTGTTGATGACATTGACGATAACATATTGCTATGGTAGCCTAGGACTTCCTGGAAAAGAAAATACAAGAGAGCAGATTATGAGGATGTTCTTATAGGTAAGATATTTTCGGAAAGAAAAGCTTTCTTACTATTATTGCATAAAGTAAATAGAAAATTTTTAACAAAAAGCAAAATGGCCAAAAACGTATATACTTACGAAAGGGAACAAAGTAGCAATATGGCTGCCAATAATAGAACCCCAATCGCCGCCCTGAACGTAATACTGCTTGTAACCAAGCCGTTGCATAAGATTTTTTAAAATTACAGCCACTTCTGGCGCCCCAAGACCTGGACGGACAGCTGCCTGAAATTGAAAAGTTCATTGACACTGATTATACTTCAGAAACTATATATTCGTGGACTTAATTCAATTCAAATATTTTTATTCAAGTAACCAGACTCATAATGTGTTAGTAAATATAAAAAAAGAAATAAAAAAATAATAATCGTAGGGTTAGTATTTTAACATTTTAAAATTTGATTACTTATTTTGGGGCATGAAGCCTACAGCAGTTTCTAATGTAGGGGTAGTCAACCCTGTCCCCTATCGCATTGAGAGGGGTGTGGACTTAAATTGTACATGTTATGCCCTTTTTTAGGAAGATAATATCTTCTTCCAGTTACAGAAATATAAAGTAGCTGTACACGGAAAGCCACTGGAAGAAACAACTGTTCTGTTTGTTGGAGTGGTTTTGATACTTAAATTATTAAAAGATAGGTTTTGAACACAAAAATAGATTCATTTGACATAGTCTAGTCTGAACGTGTCTTGGCTTTAGAATAGTAACCTAGCAGAGAAGTGCGCCTGCAAAAGAACCGCCTTTTTGATTGTAATAGAGATAAGTTGACAAGGTCCATGTGCCTGTAATTTCACCAGCACCCTTACCCTTCCAAACCGGTAGGCAGTAATGCTATCATTACTGCTTGGCGGCAGATCATGAGTGTAAGTCATAAAAAGAATACGAACTACATAAAACAAACTATAATTTTCGAAAAAAAAAAATGTATTTAAAAAGAAATTTTCTATTAATTGCGTTCGTAGTATATATAAACCTCTCTGAAAACCTGAAGACGTGGCCTTATTACATTAAGGGTGCAAAACGGTTCTAAGACTTCAGAAATTTTCGTCACAACTCAGGAAATAGTTATCGCAACTGGATGAATAATAATGTAACACATACGGGACAGAAATACAAACAAACATTTATTTATGTTTATAGAAGATAACACACTTACGTCAGAGAATCCATAACCAGGCAAGCTGGGAATGATGAGTTCTAAAGCATAGTCTCTGCTTTTATCAGTAGCTGTTAGGTGCGGAATTGCTTCGTAGAATTCTCGTACAGAACCTGGCCAGCCATGAATCATTAAAACTGGGACGTGTTTTACACCTTCTGGTACCTTTTAAAATAAAACACGCATAAGAAATTGGATGGCAAGTGTAGTTGCAAGAATTATTCAGGAAAGGTTTAGGATTTCTATCTTTTCTAGTTTTTTCTTGATATTTATAATTAAGAAATTTATGTTCTATATATATATTATCATGAATCGGTAGATGTCTTCTCATCTATTGTACATAGGTTTTCTCAACAGAGTACCACCACGTACATTTTTGATCAACGTGGACCCGATGGATTTTCACAACCATTCATCAGAGGAGCTGGTGGCGTTATTGGCCGCTGGAAAATAATAACAAATTATACCTCAGGTTTCACGTGGACGAAATGAATGGCCAATCCCTGAATATGAGTTTTGTAACCATTGTACTGATTCAGAAATTTCTCTCGTGCACTGAAATCGTATTCTTCTCCCCAATACTTTAGCCAGCCATCGATTTCTTTGGAGTTGAAACCATATTCGAAGCTTATACCCTCCAGTGGTGGAGGGAAGGCACTACTACGTGTCATTTTTATATATTGCTTAAGGTCTCCAATCATCTGTAAATATATGAAATGTCATATGATCAATAACATGACCGTTGTTTATTAAAAATGAAATGGATTTTTAATTTCCTGTATAAATTATTTATTCTTCTTAGACTTCCTCTCCTATTGGAGACTCTGACTTTAGAGGTGCTGAAGGTAATCCCTCACAATCGATACACGTACATAAGCTGGAGTAACTTATTTGTACTTATTGTTTCTCAAGACGTGGCCGAATTGCGACATCTTCCTGCGCTTAATGTTGTTCATAAGTTTCGTTTCATCTTTCTTAAGTTTATTGAATAATAAAAAATAATAAAATTGTACTTGTAACCCGATTGCCACATGAAATTCTCAAGACCCAAGTGTTGGTAGCTACCTTACTCATCATATAAGCATAGTTATGGAAAGAGGGTAACGCTGCTGGTATCTTGGGTACTTTGCAACAGGAACCCAATTTTTTTATATATATAAAATATAAAAAATATAAAAATCATTTATTTCTCCTTCCAGAAATATTACTTAAAAAGAGATATTAAATCTAAGGTGACAATTTCAAAATAAATTACATTTGTGGAAAGCTGGAGCCTAAACTAAGTCTTTGATTTGTATTTTAGGTTTCCAGGTTATTTTATTTAGTTAGGTTTAGTTTTCGTACTTATATTCTATTTTTATACTTTGCTTGTCAAATACACTAAACAAATGTTATATATTACAATTAAATTACATTTTTATCTATATATCGATTTTTCACGCAAAATTAAGCTCAAATTTTCAGAAATATATTCTCGATTATTCTATATACATAGATTTTAAGAATTGTTTACTTTGTTTTTTATTGAAAAGGACTAACTTTTGTAGCCGTAATTCGCTTAGATGACGGCTTTATCATAAACATATAATTTTATTAACATAATTAAATTGTACTTACCATATTGTCAAATTTAATACGAAAAGGTTTGACCAGGTCATTCTGCTTTCCTTTCTTGGATTCTGGGCCCCACCATTCGTCTATCGGCAAATCAGGTACCGGTGGGGGACTCTTCAGGAATGCGAAGTACACAATCACTGCAATGATCCCAAAAATTGGGGCAAGACAGAGTAGACGAGCCATCTGAAAGAACAAGACCATATTAACACCGACTTATTTCTCTGTAACGAATTAACGATCAAGGAAGTACATTAAGAATGATATCAAGTACAATAATACATAACAACTATACTAATTGTACTGTGGGGGGTTAAATTAGACTAAAGGTCTGTATTTCAGGTCATCAGGTCTCCACCTCTTGCGAAAAATTTTCTTAAGTATTGTGTACTGGTACAATGATAATTGCGATAAATTAGATACTAAGTTAACAAATACAGCAAAATATTGTTTTGTAGCTGTGTTTTTATGGATGTGTTTTTGGTTACTAATTGTTTTAAAAAGTGTATACATAATCAGACACGGGCAGTGGGTTAAAACTCAATCAACCCGCCCGGGTTTTAACCGGGCTCGTACCCAAAACGCCGAGATTTAACCTATTTCCACCAAACTCGTCGACGAAAATGGCGAATACGTAAGTTGGTATAATTCTATACTTATTACAATGCATCTCCACATAATACCCATTCGCAACTCTCACTTACTAGTAGCGATGCGTATTATGATTCGATTTTTTTGAAAATCGATTCAACTGTTACACCATACGATAACGAGTTTTTCGACATCCGAAGAACAGAGTCCGATGTGGTTATATAGCGAAAAGAGAATAAGTACGTTACGAGAATAATTTCCTTATTCAAACTAAGGCCTACGTAAAGGTGTTTTGAGAATTTATATATCTTATTCATTTCGGAAATATAAAATCGAACAACGGTCGATCTGACATCCACAGCGAAGTAGAACGAACGAAATGTACTATACCCTGAGAACAAGTAGTCTTGCACATAGGTCTTTGTTCTACGGATGAGTCGTTTTGTATATAGCACAAGCGAATCGATGTCATAGAAAAGCGGAATGTAAGTAAGCATAACAAATTTTGTAATAACTCCATTACAGGTGCAAATACTTTTTGCTTTCGATTTTGGGTTTTAACCAATTAAAGGCGTTAAGAAAGTGCCGGGTTAAAACCCGGGCGGTTGCCAATCTCCGTATACAATATTATATGCATATTTATACGTGTGTAGGTGAGTGTACGCTGTGTATGTGTATATGTGTGTGAGTGCGAGAGGACGAGGGACCGTATGAAAATTGGAAAGCTGTTTTAATTTTTTTATAATATTAAGTGACGGGACGAACAAGTCGCGCCCCTGATGGTAAGTTACACGCCTGTCCATTACAGTTGCAGTGCCATTCAGAGCTTTAAATCGCAAAGATCTGAGAGGCACAGACATTACATCCGTTACCCTGAGACATAAATTGACAAGTCCCATGTGCCTGTAACTTCACCAGCACCCTTCCAAACCGGAACACAGTAATGCTAACTTTTCTGCTCAGCGGCAGAAATAGGTAAGATGGCAGTACTACCATAGACGAACACCTTCACAAGGAGCTCTACTGCTACTAAAAAGTGGCGTGCTGGCATGGCGGGTTTTATGGACAAGGTTTTATTTTTGTTTATGTTTTACGTGTCTTCATACTTCAACTCCTGAAGCCAATATCTTACCTTCATGTGGCACTTGACCTTAGTAATATTATAGTTTAATTAAGTTTAGTAGCAGTAGAGCTCCTTGTGAAAGAGAAGTACTGCCACTTAACTTATTTCACCAAGCGGTAATGTGAACATTATTGCGTTCCAGTTTTGAAGGGTATTGGTTAAATTACAAGCGCATGGGACTTGTTATGTTATGTCTTAGGGTGACACTCTGCCATTTAAACATCTGAGTGGAACTGCAACTTTTGACAACACGACTTGTTCGTCCGGTCACAATATTATAAAAAAAATACAGAAAGTGTTCTACTAATTTTATTATATGAAAGCGACTAAGATAGCAAAAGAAGCGTTCAGTGAATATAGCGGAGAGCGGGTCTTAAAGGGGTTGAACGTCCATCCATTCTGTTTCAGTATTGTTTGTAATATGAACAGCTGATGTACAGTTACAACTTTAGCCACTTTGTTTAAGAGTGCAGAGGGATATCGGAAGGGATGGAAAGACGACACCTTCAGAATAGCTCTTTGCGTTCTTTTTACTCCCAAGATTGTGTATTGTAGTGTGATATCGACGTTTTGATAGACTACATGCATTTAAGTTCTTACCCATAGATAGGGTAGGAACAACTCTATTAAAACAAAACCCCTTAGAATTACATACAATGTTTTATATAGTAGCACTCATACGAGTTTTCTAGGCTTTATTTCCTTGCACCTGTAGAGTATTTTTAAATGTGATATTGTTAACAAAAATATAAAATTATTTTCATTATTAACCCAATGGCTGGCAGTCACATTGTCCAATGTAGTAGCACAGCTATACCAAGCTGCCAGCATCTTGGGCACCTTGCCACAAAGAAATTTTATACATTTACTTTATTACCAGGTCCATTTTTTATTTATATACAATTAGGTTTGAGAGTACGCTTTTAAATTTGTGAACTGTGTTGAAGTGACATGGTACAAAGAATTATTATAATACATTGTTGAGCACACAAAGCAGTACTATGTTAAAAGTCTAGATCACGCAACCGTCTCGCTCACACATTAGCAAATTAAACGCATGATAGCCTGTAGCGAGGTCGCACAATCTTATTATCTAAGCGTGTGTAAACCTGTGGTGCTCAATTTCTATCTAATATGCATAGTACTAGTTCTGGCCACAGCAACAACATTATTCCTATCCAATTATCTGTTTATTACGTGAAGATATATAAGATAAAATAAGTTCACAAAAAAGGATATAACAAGGAACGGAGCAGCAGAATAACTTAGCATAAATAAACAGATGTAAAATTGGCAAACGCAAATGTAACATGGAAAACTTCTAACAAATTAACTCACCCTCTCTCATACCCAATACATATGCAAATATAAACCAATTGTTTTCCTAAAACATAACAAGGAAAAACAATACTCACTGTAAAACAAGTTCACTAACTCACTTAGCTAAAAATAAACGGCACGACCACACCGGCCGGCGGCACTCCCAATATTAATTGAACACGTACTTCGGAAGATAAGAGTGATACGAGTTTGAACCTTAATGATAATAGTAGATAATTTGGCCGACAACATCACGCAGAGGTTTTTTACTGTAAGTTTGTAGTCATGTTGATTTGTAGACGAGAAGGAGACAAAACTACACAACAGATTGTTTATTGCTTGCTATTTACAAAGCAGATTAGACTAAAGCATAAAAGCGAGTCTCATAAAATTTGTGTCAGCCAATATGTATATAGGTTATTAGGTATTAAAGCGAGGATACACGGACTTTACAAACCTTCCACGCTGACTTAAAGAAGGTAGATAAACTTGAGGTGTCTTTATATTTTTGTTTGTATTTCTAGAGTTTTCTAAGGCGTTACCAATAATAAATAACTTTCATATCTAATAGCAATAACGAAACATTAAAGTGAAAATAATGATAGATAACAAGTTTAGTAAAAGCCAAAATGTGTTTTTACAACCCCATTATTACGAAATTGTCATTATAATACGAATTCACTGTTGACGGTTTGTGAAACTATTCCTATGTACAGATCTCTAAAGCCCCTAAACGAACTACAATTAAAACTTACTCATCATTTTAAGTCAATATTAAATGCCAGTAATTTGTCTATAGTTGGTTAGTGTCGTCGTGTTACATTATTTATTTGGAAGATACAATAGCAAAATGATGATTTTGCTGAATATTTTCAAAATGATTATCTTCATTTTAGTTTTCGAGACTATTGATGCAAATATAACAGCGTATGTAGACGAAAATACCATACATAACACTATAAGCCATTGTATTTTACAAGCTTCTCAAAGTGACCTGATAAATAAACCTCAAGTTGTTGTCTACAAATCTGCGCACGGAACTAAAATGAACAACGCATTGATAAATACTTTTACAAAAAGCATCATACCTTTGATTGTAATAGAAAAAATTAAATATATTAAAGGAATAGAAGAGAACACTTTATTAATCGTGAACGTCAAATATTGCAGTTCTTTTAAATTGTTCAAACCAAAACACTTCAAAGAAAATATAAAGTACTTTATTATTACAACAAACGAAACCGATAATTGTGATGAGGAAATTAATGAAATTGGAAAATATTTAAGCACTTTTGATGTTGTTTTTGTAGATAATCTACGGTTCTTATCTTTCATTCCACATATTGACGAAAAAACTTGTAAATTTTCAAGCAGAATTGATCCAGTTGTAATAAATACTTGCATTAATGGGAACTTAAAAACGGAATTTTATCTCCCACTTAAAACAATAACTGATATGAAAAACTGCACTATAAAAGCTGGATTAACGAGCATGTATCCATTATCAATAATAGAAGAAAAATCGTTGAAGAATTATGATATTTTGGAAAATCCAACAGGATCGGATGTAGAATTGATTAAAACTATAGCTGAGACGATAAATGCTGGAGTCATCTTTTATTATATGGATAGAAGTGAATATATCCCTTACCGGGATAGAGATTACATAAAATTAATTATCAATGGTACCTTGGATATTTGTGCTGGAGGACTATACAGAAATTTTGAAAACATCGTTGCGTATTCAGGAGCCTATGAACAACAGGGAGTCGTTTGGATTTATACAGTTGAAAGAATGGGTCACACCTGGAGTAATTTAATCAAGACAATGCAAGGACTTCATATATTTTTTCTCTTTTATATATGTTATAGCATCGTTTGGAATATTTTTCTCTACTTTAATGGCCAAGCTTTAAATTGGAGTAGCACATTCTTGTACAGTTGGGGAGCATTATTCGGATCTTCATCATTACAAGATGCAATAAATTTCAAACAAAGATTCTTAAACATTGTTTACCTGATTATGTGCATATATTTGTCGATTTTTGTAGGTGTGCAGTTGTATACCTTTCTTACAATACTAGGACCTCCGGAAATTCTTTATACTGTAGAAGATGTGCACCAATCGGGCAGAACACCTTATTTAAACCCTATGGGGAAATACTTTCTCCAGGATAAAAAATTCGTAACATTTGCTAATACGTCAAAAGACTGTGATTCTTTCGAGCTTTGTATTGAAGAAATGTTACAAAACAAAGGTTTGACCATTGTTACCGATAGTATATTCGTTCCCATTCAATTAAAAACTATAGTGAATGACGAAGCAAGGCTTTTAAAAATTACTGAAGATGTTGTAATTGTCAACCATGAAATGATTATAAGGAAAAACAGTCCCATGGTTGCAATATTTCAAAAGAAATTGAATAGATTATTTGAAGCTGGGATATGCAAGAAATTGTTTTTAGATAACATTGGGATATTAGCTGTAGCAAGAACGAAGAAAGCTATTCATAATATAATGCATAACAGTTACAGTTGTCGAATGGGGTGCAGTATAACATTTAGCAAATGTTCAGGTATATTTTATCTATGGATGATTAGTTGTTTTATATCTTGTTGCGTTTTTGTTATCGAAATTTTGATGTGAAATGTTGTATTCGGTTGATAAGGTGAAAGAATATTATTAATAAATTAAATCTGTGTGTTTTTAAAATGTGTTTTGGGGCCAAGGTGTATAAAGGATTAGGTGCTTTGGGAGTTTGAGTTAGCGGTGTTAGTTGCTATTCTCTATTGACATTATTGTTCGTATAGAGTGGGATTTCCAAAATTCTGCAATATGGAGAGGATTTATATGTATTTCGTCAATGCGTTTTAGAAAATCATCATCAGGTATTGATTTACAAATTTGGGTAGCAAATTGTGAAAAGCAAATTCAAAGCAAAAAGGCGAGACTTATCTTTTTTTCGGAACCCCGGAATGGCAAGCGGAAACAATGCGGCCATTTCTTACAATACATATTCTGAAAAGACATTTGAATAGTTGCAACATTGATCCCTCGAGGTGGGAGAAATAGTCGAGTTGCTCTTCTGTTTGGAGGCACTTTGTAAAAAATCAAGTGACAAAATTTGAAGAGATGAGGCCGTCAGACCTGTACGCGAAATGTAATGCTGTCAAAGTTAAAACATCTGCAGCCATCTTTTACTATTTTGTTGATAGGCATCCTTACGTGTTGCCACGGTTCGCGAACGTTTACCAATGAGATTGTCTATTGTAGCTAAGAGCACATGATAGGGTGAACAGCCGTAGGTCTCATTCTAAACAAAAGCAGTCGCTGTAATCAAAACCGGCTAGGATGATATATATTAATTAACGTATTTGTATGCACTCTGTATATTATAAGTAGTTTTAGTTCACAATTGCTTGAGTTTGTTGCATTTTGAAGTTTGTATACATTTCAAATAAATAGTAATTTTAATTCAACATGTTGGAATTTCAATTTCCTATTGATTATGTACGTGACGACGATTTGCATTGTAATAGCTGGATGAGGAGGACCCGGGTTCGATTCATGGTAGTACCTGTTTGGGAAATGAAATTTGTTTCTGGTCTGAGTGCCACGGAAGTCAGTCATTTACGCGAGAGCGAGAGCAAGTCGAACTTGACTTTTAAAGTTGAAATTCAACTCTATGACGCTTTTTTTTACATGACACTGTCCATAGCAGTTGCAGTGTCACTCTTAGCTTTAAATCGCAAGATCTGAGGGGCAGTGCCACTGCGACTGTCACCCTGATACATAATTTGACTAGTCCCATGTACCTGTAATTTCACCAGCACCACAATCAATTCCCTATAAATTTATCAATTGCGACGCGTCACAATGTATTTAATTGCAATTGATTTCAATTGAATTGATTTTAATTGCAATTAAATTTGCAATTAAAATCAATTCCGGCCACCCTCATCCGGCCCCCAAACGGCCCCTTAACCGGCCCCTCAACCGATCCTAACCCATCCCCTAACCTACGCCTTAACTCACCCCCATATGCCCTATAAATTTATTATAATAGTCAGTTTTAATTGTTAATTGTTAATCAAAAACATTGAAAAGATTGAAAATTTATTAATTGTTAATTGTAGATATATGCGATTAACGATTGATCAACTGTTAGTTGCTGTTTCGCAATTGACAATTAATTAATTGTTAATTGCGGTTCTCGCAACTAACAATTGATCAATCGTTAATTGCTGTTTCGCAATTGACAATTAATACATTGTCAATCTTTAATTGCCAGAACAATTGTATTTTGCCCAACACTGTTCTGAACTAGTTAGGTGAAAACAGTACTAATAAGAATAATCTTTCAAGTTCCTTGGAAAAAGACTTTGTATTGATGTATAATGTATGTGCAATATTCAGTACGAATTGTTATGTAAATTATTGATTTCCAAAACTGTAAGTTAAGACACAGTGAGAGTCGACATATACCCAGCTAATGCAAACGGTTTTTGTCACTTGAGGACTGTTGAATAAAATTATTTAACCTACTTTATTATTACCTTAAACATTTTATTATACTATTGGCGTAGAAGCCAGTTGTTTTGGTAAACAACTGGCGTGGGTAT